CAACACTTGGTCAACCTGTTCTCGAGATGTGATATCGGCAAGGTGAGCTTGGAATGTGCTCTTGCGATCTTCGATGGTTTCTCCGTGAAGAATTTCAAACTTTGGGRTTTCCTGCTCTTTCATCTTCTCAAATGGCGTRTATTTGATCTTCTCGAAGTATTTCTTTATCTTGGAAGTTTGAATTTCTAGTCCACTTGTTAGAAGTAAATCCAGAACGCTCTTTTGGATGTACTTGAACCTAACTTCCCCTAATCCTTCTGCAGTGGTCTCATACCAACACGACACAACAACCATCACATTCATGGCATTGGTTCTTTGTAGAAACCGAAAGACTCTTGCTCCAGAAGTATCATCGCCATCATCATCGCAATGTTCATGGTAAACATTTCGTTCGGCATCAAAGATCCTGTGAGCCCAGATGTTATGCGTCGCCTCAGCAACACCAGGATCTTTTTTCTTCAGCTCAGCCAAAACTTGCTGGACCTGGTCCTTGGATGTTATCACAGCAAGATGAGCTTGAACCCTGTTTTCGCCATCTTCAACAATTTCTCCCTCGAAGATGTTAATTTTARATACAGTCTGCAAGTCTTTGGGGTTTTCGCCCTCTGAGGCATCTGTTCCAAAATTTATGGAAAATAAGATATCGTTATGATCCTAACATTTGTAATAGTGTGACAAACTGATTATATGACAGTAATTATATGATTTTGACATCACTGGTGATTCGGCTGCAATCTGATTGCCTCTCAAAAGTGCGATTTTATCACAAATCGCACCACTTTGAGCTTTAAATAGCACATTTTGAAAAGCCAATTAAATTTGATCATTTGACCAAACACATCACAGAAAAAAAAGCCAAAAAAGCATAAGGAAAAAATTGCTCTACGCTCAGTTCAATTACCATTATAAATACCTTGTTGGTGAGCACTCAGTAGTTCAAGGCGAGCGTTATGGAAGTCGTCTTCCTTGATGCTAACTTCAATTTCAATCTCCTTGCCCTTTGCCTGGCGTATCACTTCATCTATCAGAAGGACTTCCTGTAGGTCTTGTTCCAACTGGCCACTTTCGTATCTGAGTGAAAAGAAAAGGGAAAGAGGTCAGAGGATATCATATGAGATACTTCAATCTGTCAATAATACCGTTGATAATTCCAGTGATTCTTTGATCTAGGGTAAACTTATGCTCGTATAAGGCCGGTTTTGAAGCAATGGTCAATGCTTAGCGTGCGTAAATCTATTGATGGTGCACGCGGATAGTTGGGAGGGCACGATGGTAGCGTAAGATTTGCACGAGGCGGAGCCGAGCGCGTTATATCTTAGTTATGTTATAAAGTTTACTCTTTGTCAAAATACTATAAGCAATCAGCAATGATGTTGATCCTAGAGTAAAGTCATAAGAGAATGTAGTTTCGTTTTCTCACTGGACAATCACACTTAACAACAAATATTTTAACTGAATTTAAAGTCATAGATATTTTAAGAGATTTTAAGACTTCTATTTTGAAACAAGACATGTTTCGTCATTACGTATACAGCCATTTTCAGTTGCGAAAGAAATACATGCCACAATCATGGATACCAATAACCGGAACCAAAATGCCACCAATCAGAGACTATTTTTGCGTACTTTTCCCTGGTCTTCAAATAAACAACTCGCGCGTTCAATGTTGTTACCGGTATATTCGCGCGATTTACGTAATTTTAATGCACAAGTAGCGAGTTTTCAACCACCCAAATAAACAGCTAAAAGACTACTGCTGCCTAAAACGCATCGCACGACAAAAATGAAACACATTTTAGACGATTGTAAGTATTAAACTTTATTTGAAAACGGTATTTAAAAAAGCTGAAGAAAAGAAAATTCATAAAAATCGTAGTTCAACACTCCCTACTTAAAACAAATTTTAACGGCCAAAGTCAGCCATAACGCCACAGGAAGCCCATACCCAATCCACGAACTGAGAGTCTGGGAAGCCTGTGTTTTGATCACTAAAAACGAAACGGAAACAGTGCGTGTGTGCTATTTGATGACGCACGAGAGTATGGTAAGGCAAAATTTAAACTGCATCCGCTTTCTAAAAATAGCCCAATCGGGAATTTACATGGCGCGATATGCATGGTTTCTTTTAATTTGACTTGGAATGTAAAGGGTGCAGAATTCAAACTCAAACTAAAAGAAAATCCCATTCTTAACCAGCAACTCAAGCATGTATTTAGTATTTATTACATGGTTAAAAAGTAAAATTAGTAACTATATATATCTGTGCTCCTTTCAGTAATAAAGCACTCAAGACACTTTGTGCTTACGTCACCTCCATGCATGCTTTATTACTGAGCGGAAAAAGCTGTTTTATTTGTTAAATACATAACTGTTACCTTTTCCACAGCTCGTCCAGTGCAGCTACGCTTTCTGCTTGGATCTGTAAGACGGTAGAGCCAGCTACGATAGCACTTACTGCCAGACCCATTGGAAGTACAACTCTGTTTACCATTTTTACCAGTTTTTCCGGATCATCTTTGTAATGATATAACAAATAAGAACTTCCTCCAACCCATCCTAGCACAGTAGCTAGCTTCCAGACACATCGCACATTGACTTAAAACGAATAAAAAGAAGACTGCATATTCAATTCATTATTGGTTCAGAGGAGAGGGAGGACCGTGGATTTCTTACCTGGAGAAGAATGAAAGTGCTTTCTCTCTTTTTGAGCCAGTTTTAGTTCCCGAATGACGTCCTTGTTTGCATTTAAGATCATCTTTTTGACATCTTGATCTTGCAGATACCATTCTTCCAATTCCTCCTCATATTCTTGAGCGTCTTCAGACAATGGATCTGTCAGGAGCTTTTCGATCGCCATTTCCCAATCTAAAACAGCAGAAGAGTCGTAATGCTTCACTATCCTCAGTAAAGCATCTTTAATGCGTTTCCAAAGGTCCTGAAAATCAGTGTCATCCAGCTCCATTTTGTCGTTATGAGCGTAAACATCATTCCGATAATACTTGATCCTCGCTAGATCGGCTGGTAAAGTCAAATCTTTGTCGTCAGGAAGCTCGTCCCATCCTTTTGGTGGTGGAGTCAAGCTACAGAATTCTCTCAGCAGTTTGAATATCAAAGTTATATCAAAATCAGTAGATTTACCACATGAAGTGACGGTTGGGAAAAGAGAATTCCATTGAGGTCTCGTCAACAATCTCTTCTTTTTCATCTGCTTTAGTTGCTTGTTTACCGTTTTATTTGTCAAAAATGCATGGAGATTTGTTGACGGAATCATAGAATCAAAAAGCTCTCTCAACACCTTAGTTCCTCCACATATTAGAAGCCGTGATAGTCTTGTAAAATGACTTTTTCCTGGTGTAGTCCGCAAGACTTCGTTTCGGTAAACTCTTGCACTCGCCATTTCCCACGTGAAATTTTAAGAAGGATAACGCTTTACAACGTCTCCCTCCTGGAATTCAATGTTAATGGATCGAACTACTTCATTGTAGAGCCTACGATTGCATCGACAGATTTTGTAGAAAGTTGTTATTTAGGAGTAAATCAGTTATTAAACTACCCGGAAAACGTTTTCAAGTCGTCGGGTAGAATATTTGCACTGAGAAGACAGCGAGTGCAGTAATGCATTTTGGGATAGATTTGTTTTGTTTTATGACACCAATTAAGGTACTGTTACACAAGAAGACCATCTGCTCATTCTCGAGAATGACCATTTGCATATAAGTCTTGTCCAAGAGAATATTATTTACTTAATATTCTATTGAGTGGTCTTGTCTGAAGTCAAATATTTTCAATAGGCTAGCTTATTGAATAAGTGAGGTCAACTAGATAAGTATTCGGCGTCTTTAAGGTAACTTGCATGTATGGCAGCGTTCTTCGGTTCAGGGTAGCCTATGAATTTATCCATACTATTATTTGATGAGCTTTAGCGCCCTAGTTCGAGTTTTGAATGACGTTTGGAACGGAGCCGGAAATACAGTGATTTGTAAGGAGTAATTATGCATTCAAATGGTCATATCTCAGCTGATATTTGACCGATTCTGGTCAAATTTGGTGTGTAAACGTCTTTTTTGATTGTCTATAGAAATTAGAGATCGAAAATAATTAAAGTCAAAATTAATTTTTTCGTGACGTCACACTTGAGTACTCTATGTAAGTGCCGCCATAGTTATACACCTATTTCAAAAAAAACATTCGTTCGTTCTGAGATCTGAAATCAGAGACCGAGTAACATGTTGCAAAATGTAATATATTCACAGTCGAACAACGTAGTAATATTGGAATATGTAGCATGACCTTTGGGTTAGAAATATGATTTTTCGTATTTTAGCCAGAAATCATTATCGTAAGTATATCCTCGTGTTTTGCTCGGTGTTTTCGCTCTTTTGTCGTTTCTGGATATCGTGCACAACCCACAAAGGAGTGAAAACTACGACTTATGGAATCAGTCTAGACATTTTTATATAAGATACCATTTAAAGTTTAGCAGTTCATGGATGCTTGTTTTGTATCAACCGTTACAGTCTTTACTGTGTTTAATGGCCTTATTAATGGTTGCTGAATAAATAATATAACGAGTTCGGTGAGCTGAGGTTACATCATCGATAGGGCAGAAAAACGAAAAGCCCGCTACTTTCACGATGTTTTTATTTAACTGAGTTAAATACTCCAAATTTCTAAGCGTTTCATTTGTGTCACTGCTGCTCCAAACTTGTGACGAAATTTTGTCGAATTAGAATAAAGGCTACTTATTAGTATTCACGAAAATGTCAGTTTTCTGCTGATCAAAATATCACCTCTCCCAAAGTACACGGCTTTATATCTCAAATACGCATTCAATAAATTTTGGTCGCATTTGATATTTTGCTATTTGGCTTCAAAAGAACGTGTTTACAAAATATCGAGCTTAAATACGTAAAGCTGTCCTTATGGCAAAAGGCCAAAAAACCGTTTTTTTGCCGCCGGGCACTGTCTACATCATCTATTTTGTTCCTAATAGAGCTTTGGGATGTATATTGTAAACTTTATTTAACTAGGTTTAGGTGGTCCGTTAAGCAACTTTGCTAGTATCCAATCTTGACCCAGAGCCAGCGTTTCTTCTGGCCTGCGGCGATGAACGAGGGCTCTGGCATAATCCATTTTTGGCGCATGCGCAATTTTCCGGAAGTGAAATGATCGATGAAAATCATCCTTTCAAACAGAGTTCTGTGTTAACTCTCGATCAAAATGAAAATTAGAAATCGGGAACATACTTTTTGGCAAGTTTTTAAACGCATGCGCTCTTATACCGGAAGTCCAAGAAATCCCGATCTCAAAAATTGGATTATGCCAGAGCCCTCTTTCTTTGCCGCAGGCTAAAAGAAACGCTGGCTCTCTAGGTAAGAGATTGGATGGTATCGCAAAAGGTCTTGAGACAAAAGCGCTAGCACCGTGCCATAAAGATTGTTTGTACATTTTCTTCATAACAGACTGAATTTGTTGTCCAAAGTTCTGGTTCAGGCTGAAGGTGCGAGGTGGTTAAAAGACGAGATGCGAGTTAGTGAAAAGACGAGATCAGGAGTTGCTTTGTTGCAACTCGGCTATGATTAGCAAACAGGAATAAAGTCATTTTAACCAACTCGCATCTCCCATGTCCCCTAGAAGCCTCCCGTAATTTATTGCTTTCTTTTGCTTAACTGTCCCACCTTTGAATTTGTAATTGCATCTTTATTACTTTATTACTTTAATTAATTCTGAAAATCCCAATTGGAATTAGTATAGGAAATCACACGATCTCGAGTACAATTCGGAATTTATAGGTACGAGTGATGTTTTGAAAGTTTTTAAAATCGAAATTTGAGAACTTTCCAAACATCACGAGTATCTATAAATTCCAACTCTGCAGAGTACGATTTGGGATTTAATCGTACTCCTCTTGTCCAATCAGAACTGATCGAGTAATTTTGTAGAGTGTATTATGTAGTGTTTAAAAAACGAGTAGGAGTGTTTTTATACCTGATAAAACACGATCTACGAGTTTTTTGAACTGTTTATAAGATTTTGGTTCAACTGGAGCCACCATACACGTCACGAACATGGATTTTTATACTTCGATAGAGATTTGACGTCACGGGCATGCGCAACCAGATTCAATAGAAGCTCCCACACGTTGGATATTGCGTGCCAAGGCAAAGATAGGCACGTTAGTCAAAGATCATTAGGGTTGAYTATGRCCTTGAAGCTCTATGTCTTCATCTAAACTTGGATGCATACTTCATCCCTGATGAAGTCATCCTCATAGTATTCGAGTGGTCTTTATATAAAGATTGCATGTGTCTTTATATAAAGACACATGTGTCTCTATATAAAATCACTTGAATACTAATGAAGAGGAATTTATCGGGTATAAAGGTTCATGCACGTGACGTGTATGGTGGCTGCAATTGGACCATAAGCTTATGAATTATTAATGAGTGTTTTAAAAATTAACAAAATGTATCGTATATTGTAGATAAAAGTGTTTACTGAAAAACATAGGAAAAAGTTTAAGAAAGTGTGTGCTAAATCAATATTTCAAGCAGACAGGATAATTAAATTAAAAACACAGTAGTTTTTTCTRGCGTCTTGTATTCAATACAACTTTCCTACGGCCGTAGTTAGAATAATATAGAAATCGTTTCAGTTTTGTGAACGGGCGAAAACGCGTGAACGTGATACCTTTTCGTTGAGACAAAAAAAAGCGTTTCGAATACGCATTTAGACACTGGCTAAACGAAGAAACGTGTTCCAGAAACGGGAAACATGTTTACTYAACATCGGTTAGCGCATGCGCACCTCCTCGTCCGCCATCTTGTTTTGACAAGACAGAGCGAGCGTTGCCAAGTAACGAACTTTTAGAATGCTGACTTTTTTGTGGCTAAACGAGCAAACATCGGGAAACATTGTTTCCATGCGTCTTGGAAGCATGAAATGTTTCTGCCGCACAGCAGAAACATTTTTGGAAGCAAAATTTTTTTGCACGCAGCAACGTTTCGCATGTGTGGATAAACTGGGAAACATTGGGGAAACATGCGCGCGGTAAACAGTTCTGGRAAAATGTTTCCTCGTTTAGCCAGGGCTTTAGTATAGTGTAGACGTTACCTAAAACCGTTTAACTTGGTCACGCACTGAAATAGAGCAGTTTTTGTATGACTGAGAGAAGCACACGGTACGAACACGGTTATTGATCGTGACAAGGCAATGCATACGCCAGACCAATCACATTAAACGAGAATTTACTCTCCATCCAATCAAATACCTGAAACAAGGCATGAACACGCCCCAGACAAGGTCACGCCAATGTCACGGCACTGCCAGTCCAATCACATTGTGCGAGAAAAAAAGCTCAAAACCCAATCAAAATTCTGGCAAAAACCTCGCGGTCGCCGCAAGGCATGCACGCACACAGCACCGACTTTTCACTGAGTCAAACGAAAACTGGTCTAAACAATAAAACAAAAAACGTGAATCATTCTTTTTTGACCATTCGTATTTCCAGGAACTTTTATATTTATACCACTTTTGGTATATTAAGCACAATTATGAGTACAAGAAGATCACAACGTTGTACTTGATGAAGAAATTATCCCAAAAAAACTATTTCAATTAATTTTTTTAAATTTTTCAATTTTTTTTTAAACTCGTGGAAACTCTTTTTCAGGCATATCATCTACAACAGGACTTTCTTTCATCTATAATTTTTTGGTCTTTCTATAATATATAAAAATATATATATATATATATTACTTGCGCGACTTCTTTCCCTTTCCCGTCGAGGCTTTCGGGTCAGGAGATGCTGTGCTCGTACTAGTTTCAGCAATCTTTCTTTGTTGCAGAAGGTCGCTAGCACACTTATTAATGTGTTTGAATCTATCATTCCCCAGATGTATTCCACCGTGCCAGCGAGTCACGATGATAACCACATTCTTGGCGTCGCTCCTTTGCAGCAAATGCAACAACCTTTCTCCTCCTAAATTTTCGCCATCGTCGTTACCTTCTTCAATGTAGGATTTCTTCTTTTCATCATAGATCCTACAAGCCCACATGTTGTACTTTGCTTTTGCAATCTTACGGTCTTTCTTCAGCTCGTTCAACACTTGGTCAACCTGTTCTCGAGATGTGATATCGGCAAGGTGAGCTTGGAATGTGCTCTTGCGATCTTCGATGGTTTCTCCATGAAGAATTTCAAACTTTGGGGCTTCTTGCTCTTTCTCAAATGGCTTGTATTTAATCTCTTCGTAAAATTTCTTTATTTTCCACGATGGAATTCTCACTATCCTATGGGTCAAAAATAAGTCCAGAACGCTCTTTTGGATGCACTTGAACCTAACTTCCCCTAATTCTTCTGCAGTGGTCTCATACCAACACGACACAACAACCATCACATCTGTAGCTCGAGTTCTTTGTAAAAAGCGAAGGAGTTTCGCTCCAGAAGTATCATCGCCATCGTCATCACAATTTTCATCGTAGGCATTTCTTTTGTCATCAAAGATCCTGTAGGCCCAGATGTTATGCGTCGCCTCAGCAACATCAGGATCTTTTTTCTTCAGCTCAGCCAAAACCTCCTCGACCTGGTCCTTGGATGTTATAACAGCAAGATGAGCTTGAACCCTGTTTTCGCCATCTTCAACAATATCTCCATCAAAAATCTCAAGTTTAGAGGTTTTTTGCTCGATTCTTATTTTGGTCTCAAATTCTTCCAACAGTTCCTCTCCTTCTTTGGCTGAGAAAAAAAGTGGATCGAGTTAAAAGATTACGAATTGGTGTTCACTACTGTACTTTCTTTCAGCATTAGTGTGTGAGAGGTCAACAGATTAAGATTCCCGTTTTTCCTTCCCAGAAACGGCAAACGTGACCACGTTTTCATCGTTTCCCTACATTTCACTTTACCTTTTGCAAACCTTCTCGACAAAGACCAGCATTCTTTTGTTTATCTACTACTTGGAGATTTTTGCGATTCCTTTTCACTAATTTTAAAGAATTTCTTAATTGTCAACTGACGTTTCACGTTTGCCGTAAACGAGAATCTTAAACTCTCTACAAAGTGGTAATTTGGAACTCCAGAAAATGGTCTATTGATAAAAGCACTTGAGGATGCTCACAGGAAGTGAGACTGTGACTTGTAAAAGATTTCAAGTGCATCAATAGTTACCAAGAGGTTGAAATATCAATGTCTAAGTTTCTTAGTTTCGTAGGATTTTTAGGTGACTGACTTCATAGACCTCTTCACCTTGAGTCTAACGTTTTCCTATTTCAGACCACGTGAAATAAACTCCCAATCATTTCTTGCTCTAATCGTTGCGCATTAGATAACACATGAATATGGATACAACTCAAATAAAGAATCTTATTCACAAGAGAATAACACGTGGTTTAAAATGGGAAAACATTACATCCAAGCTGAATAGAAGTGGTCATAGCTGGATTAAGTATGAAAAGTTGCTTACCTTCTAGCTGTTCTTGTGCTCTTTTGTATTCGTCTTCACTAACAAAGACGTCTAATTTCACCACGTCATTCTTAGCAAGCTGTCTCAGCTCGTGAGTTATCAGAATTGTTTCTAACTCTTTTGTTAGTTTACCTGACTGGTATCTGGAACAAAAAAGTTTGGGTTTACCAAAATACCATTCTTGAGATCAAGAATTAAGGACATATGTTCTTAATTCCTTCCTTTCTTCTTTCCTTCCATCCATCTATCTATTTATCCATCCATCCATTTATCCATCCATCCATCCATCTATCCACCCATCTATCCATCCATCCATCCATCCATCCATCCATCCATCCATCCATCCATCCATCCATTCATCCCATCCACCCATCCCATCCCATCCCATCCCATCTATCCATCCATCCATCCATCTATCTATCCACCCATCCATCCATCCATCCATCCATCTATCTATCTATCCACCCATCCATCCATCCATCCATCCATCCCATCCCATC